CTTTTCATTATGTGGCTCTTCATTCCTGTGGCCCCTCCTCCGCCCTTCCCCTCCGCCGCCTCCTCTTCCTTCAGGTGCCCCTTGTAGGGTAAAATCAACCAACGGGCCCGCCATCGAAGCACAAAATAAGTAAGATGCTACTCTTGTGGCCATCTTTGAAGTGGTTGTTGTTGTTGTTGTTGGTACTCGTAATGGGTGTAAAGCCATCTATAGGTGAGAGTCATAGTCCATAGGGTGGGTAGACGAATGGTATTGGTAGTGGTGGCGGCAGCACTAGAGCCAGACGCGCCTCATGCCTCATGCGATGCGCCATTCAAGTTCGGATTGTCGCTCAATTGTCGCACAGAGAAACAGTGGTTCACGGGGCGTACAATATTATACAGGGATTAGGGAAATTACTTGGGGGGTTAGGGGTCATCATCAGTAGGCCTGAAAGACAAACGTCATGTTTGAATCCTAGCATAGAAATTCTCCTCACAGCTTCAGTATTTTGACTGGTGGCTGACACACAAATATTTTGACTTTGAAAATTCCGATTTCCGAATGTGGCGCAAAACATTGGTAATCTTGGCCCCATACATGGTCGGAATGCTGATTTACAAGGCCATGGACGAACGTCGACGTGAGACTTTCCGCCGTGCATTGGTCCATGTAGAGGATTTCCTTCTCTGGACAGAGAACAATTCCTGGAACTTGCTTAGGGAAGTACATGGAATAAACCGAGATGGATAATCACCCTGAGTCTCACCCTGCCGGTTGGAAGGAAGGCAACGGATGGTAAGGCAGATATCGTTCTTCTTTGTTTTCCCACTAATATGCTTCCTTTTCCTTTCCATATCAGGATTTGAATACTGGTTTCGAATTTTTGTCAAACATTTTGATATGTGTCATTCTTCAGATATATATATTTTTTGTACTGATAATTGCAGTTCGATTTTTAATTTAAATTTAAAGATTAGCACCTCATACGGATATGTCCGTAAGCCACTTTTAAACTGTCTTCTAGTATACTCAATCCAAAATAGTCCACACCCAGACCACTGTGCCTCTGATGCAAGTATTGGTTAGTGCCTGTCCAAGACACCGCTGGACGATGACTGGCCGCTTGCCGCAACAGCTCACTGACTCCGGCGGCTAAGAGCGGCTCTTGGGCTCAGAGGCGAGGCTCAGAGCGGCTAAAAGCCGGCTGATGATGACTTCGAGTTGTGGCAGGACGGACGCTGGTTTCGAGCGAATGAGCGGACAAACCGACCGACCAACCTACCGACTGGCCACTTGGTGGTCCAATTCAACGAATTGACTATAATCAGTCCGAGTGGCAAGTACGTTTCAAGTGTCTGCTGCATGCAGCAGGCACTCCTGTGTGTGTGTGTGTGTAGCGTGTGGCCAGAACTTGGACTGCAGCTTCGTCGGCAATGTTGCAAGTGCTTTGTGGCACTCTCATACGAGTACGAGTGTATATGCAAATGGGTGCACTCTCACGAGTGTGCTGCGGCGGCGCATAAAATTAATTTATTACAATGCAACAAATTACAACACTCATTAATATTTAAGCCAACGTTTTTAGTTCCATTTTTTCCCTCTGCTCTCGGCTGCTGCTGCTGCTGCGTAGAGTAGTCTGGAATTTCATTTGCAGACAGGTTCAGGGGAAGCTGTGCAACATGTTGACTTGTTCATGGACCCAGAGAACATAGCGATCTAGAGAGAGAGAGGGCGTGGCGTAGGGGCTGTGCGAGTCTCATACCTAATAAATCTGTAATTTGTAATTAATGTGAAAAATTGCCGCCCGAGACGGGAAACAAGCCTAAATTGTTATTATGGCCAGAGTCCAAGTTCCAGTTTCCATTCCGCCAGTCTGCCGTCTCCAGTCTGCCAGTCTCATTCCGCAGACTGTCTGTGGCACAGTCTTGAGGCACAGTTTCTGGTGGCCTGTTGTGGGTCAGAGTCATAACTCTTCCACAAGTTCGCCAGTTTCGTACGCTTAATGTTCGTGTCTTTGTTGGCTGGGCTGGCTCTGTGCGAATGTGTGTTCCATACTCGTATAAATATAAATTAAGCCACTTGACTAACGCACAACCAACGCGCATTACCAACGCAAACCAAAAAAAAGTGAAAACTTGGTCAACCGTTGAACAAAAAACATAAAAAAAGGAACAAACAAAATCTCTTCTTTTATTGCCGCAGGTCGAGGAGATGGCCTTAAGATCCCCAAGATGATGGGGCAGCAGCATAATATGGCTCCATTGTCTGCTGAAAGCATGGCTCATGCGGCGTGATTAATATGAAAGGTGGCCAAAAAACACATGTGATAAAAATAAATATGGTATGAGAAATAGTTATTTATAAACGAAAAGGAAACAACTTAATCAAGGAAATGTTGCAGAGATTATAAAAGGATTACAGTGAGAAATGGAACTGGAATCAGATAAAGTACGGATAGAGGAAGGAAAATGCACAATAGAAAGTACGCTTAAAAATGATCAATTAATTCTAGATAAATACCAGAAAAATACTATAAACAGAGAAAACAAACCACAAGAAATGCCATACAAAATAATACGAAATACTAGAAAAAGTAAAAATCAGACATGGCTTCAAATTCGATAGAAAACAAAGCGTATAATCACTTTTCGCCCAAAAATTACACCCCATCGTAAAGATGTGCTTCATAAAGATTCATCATCTCCAGAGACTCTCCGGACTCCCCAATAAACAGTTCTGTTCCCCGAATGAGCTCTCCCATAACCCACTCTCTTTCTGTCTGTCTCTTTGGGGAGTTCTTGAAAACAATTTGCTTTGATGTTGTTTCTAATTTTAGAGTTTTGCTGCCCAAAAAAAAAAAAAAAACAACAAACATCTGGAACACAATTCGTGCATTAAATCATACAAATGCAAAAACTGGAAAACAGAAAAAAAGGAGAACTGCTTAAAGGTCTCATGACAACAAATCGGGCGTAAAAATGTCTGCATGATTGATAATATTCGAAAGTTTCAAACGCATTGACCGCAACAGAGACCTAGGGTACGAATACTATGCTTATATATGTATATATTTGCGATATTCAACCCCTGCGAGACCCTTTTGCCCCTCCTACAATTCGTATTCGCTACGGTGTGGGGTCTGTGGGCTGTTCAATTGCTTGCTACTTCGTTCGGTCAGTGGCCGAATAAAACAATTTCTTGATCATGCTGGTGGCCAGAAGGTACTCACAGCCGCCGAATGAGTGAGTGATTCAATGGAGCAAAACGTGAGCTAAAGACGTGATACAACAACAAAACCCAAACAATTGTTGCCCCGTTTATACGCCTGATGAGCGCGAATCTGAATCTGTGGCAGCGGTCCGATTCAGTCAAGTCTGGTCCGGTCCGTCGGCCTTTTGAAACGATACTCTCGGTACTCGTACTCGTATATCATAAAAATTATTGTTGTTATTATTCGTTCATTCACTTGTGATATTTTTGATTTTTTTTCTCAACGAATCAATCACAATGATTATGATAAATGATTTCGGTATTTCAGTATTTCGGTATTTCTTTTTTTCCTCATATTTATTCACTATTTTCTTTCAAAGTTTTCATTGTTTGAATGGATTTTTTTTCTTCTCTTTTTTTGCATAATGGGCGATCAGGCGATCAGAGGTTGTAATTGCCGGCTTATAAATCACAATGAAAAGATATATAATTTCTGTTTAGATGATCTGTGGGTCTGCTGCCGATGGCCGTATCTTTGATTAGCCCATTTGTCTGACGTTAGAGTTTCACTTTTTTTTTCCAGCGCTGTAATGCTGACCCATTGAACTACAAACGCAAGTATTTTGGTCAGTACTCGGACAGTGCCTCATTTAATGTTGATTTATATGTGGGAGTTTTGCACAGTACAGGAAGGGTATTCAGCGTGCAAGAGGTACAGAAAGAAGTAAATGCAAACGCAGCAAAGTAAGGGTACCGTTAGTTAGTTAGTTCATTTGCTTCCTATTTGCAGATAAGCATTGCCTGAGAGCAAGAGTCGCACTATGGGCAGCTTTCATACAAGAGCTTCTCTGCAAAAACGTGCATGGCTTTATCTCCATAGAGAGAGAGAGAGGAAAGTTACAGATTTTGAAGACAAAAGCCCCCAATGCTGCGTAGGCAAGGCATGTCATTACATGTCGTCGCCTTGTTGTTGTTGTTCCTGCTGAGAGGTGCGAACTGCATAGAGAGCGAGAGAGAGCATTGCCGTGCGAGCGTAGGTGACACGATCGAATTGGTCAAGCAGAGGGAGAGGGCGGACCAAATTGCGACTTACGAAATATTGTTGTTGCTCTTTAGCATTCATTGCCTCGCTTATCGCATTCGAGCCGTAATGTAAACAAAATTGCAAGCACAGGAGCAGCCTCGAATGTTGGGTTGCTCATTTAATGCTGATTTATTTCTTGCATTTTTTACTCTTTCTATATTTTAAAAAAAATTTTTTTATCATATTTCTGTAATCTTGTTAGGAAACTTCATTAGTGTCAACCATGCACCCGCCTTGTGGCTTTTCTTTTTTGGGGGGTGATTAATGTGTGTAGACGCGTGGCGTGGCAAGAGGGGAGGGCTAACTTTTTGGGGAAAACCTGTCTCCACCCAAAGGCGACTCTGTTTGCATAGTCACCACCTCACCCATGGGGATATGTATAGCCATCTGTACGCCACGCCCCAAACAATGTTGATCGCGGGGCAATTTAAAGTCTTTATTGTGGAATTATTAATTGGGGTGGAACCCGTATCGTTTATAGTGCATACAGCATAGGTCTTATGGTAGGGGGTGTCCATAGTTTATGAGGTCGGGTATATGATATACATATAAGGATATTCCACCACCAGCAATGTGGAGGCAAAACAACTTTCAAAAAAAGAGTTAAAGTTGCCCCAGCAGCACCAGCAGCAGCAGGTTTTTCTTTTTGGGGCCAACAAATTTGACAATATTTGCCAATATTTATTAATAATTTTTGGTTTGATTTTCTCATTCCCATTTGCAGAGTGTGGCGCAGAGCGATCGATGAGATCCGTTTGAGGCATCGTCCGTCTTCTCTTCGTTTGAGGCATAGAAAATGTTTCAACGTCTGCCCGCTGCTGGCGGCGCGGACATTTACCAGGATGCTGCTGCTGGCACCACAACGATGCGCTCCGTGTTCCCCAACTCCCGTTTGGATTCGCTGGCGGAGAGCCAACTGCCAGCACCACCAATGCCACCAACGCCAGAGCCGGACGGAGTTGGATCCATCTCTGGTGGTGGTTTTGGATACAATCCCTTAGATGACGACTGGTGGGCCAATGCCATCGAGGTGGACACCTTCGACTCGCCGCTGGCGTTCGATGCCAGCGAGAATGGACTGTGGAATGGACATTTTGTGCCGCCACCGCCGCGTCCTCCGTTTCTGGATGAAAGCGTAGCCGCTGATGGTTTGACCACCTGTGATCTATGCACGTGGGCATGGCAGCGGAATGCCTACTCATTGGATGGTTCGATAGGTAAGTGGAAAGGAGCGAGCGGTTGGATTCCCCTTTAAACGTTTTTTTTTTTTTCAATTAAAAAAGACAATAATCTTTGGGGGCACAACATCCTCGTGTGTGCATCGATCGCTGATATCAATTTATCAAACTGATGTTTTGGGGCGTGTGTTGCATGCCTCGCGATTGCTTTTCGGCAGAGCAGGGAGCGCCCTTAACCCCCGTTCCCTCTTCCCCGTTCCCTTTTCAGCATTTGCAAATTTAATTTCTGCACATAACTCTTTGTGGCAGCTCTTAGGCGTTGGTTCCCCTTCCAGATATATGTATGTCTCCTCCTCCTGCTGCACTATCGCCCTGCCACATCGGCAGTCATTTGTCTCTGCGCTTGTAAAAGGAAACCCCCCGCCCCTGTCCCCAGTCGCTGAGGAGTCGCCGAGGCGAAGGCGTCTCCTTAGATGAGGAAAAGTTATGAAAATATAAAGCAGTGGGCGTGTTGCAGGCAGAAGCGATGCCAGATACGATACGGGATGCTCTGCCAAAGAGAGTCGGAGAATCAGGGAACTCTTTAATTTATCTGAGAACCAAGGCAAGTACGTGCTGGTAGGATTGGAGAAAAACGGAAGGAAATATATGGAAAAGGTCTGCCCTTTTATTAGAAATTAATTTTAGAGGGCGATTTCTTTCTTTCTTTTAATTGATGAAATTAAGATATACAGGAAAGAAAATTTAACCAAAAACCAAACGGTTATTGTTTCTTAATAGAATCGTAAGTTAGTAAGTAAAAAAACGTAGGGAAATTGATTGTCAATCATCTCTTATTGAAAGCGTGAGTGTTCAGAGTGAGATTTCCAGAGATCTTTTGAACGTAAAATAGAAGAAATAATAGAAGAAAATGATAGAAATTTCCATAACAAAGAAGCCCAAACCAATTCTCAATTGTTTCTCATTGAACATGGAAGAGAGAGACGTTCCAAAGCACCCTTTTATTAGATCCTTTGAAGCGCTAAGAAAACGCAAGGATATTCAAGGAAAAACCTTCTCTCATTAAAAACTTACTTCATTTACTTTCTTAAAATGCAAATTTTACCAACTTTCCATGGGAAAACCTCTCTAGAACGTCACCGCATAATCCCCCAACAACCCGTCTCCAAAATCAAGTAATAATAAAACACAAAGTGAATGCCAAATGACCGCTTGGAGCCACCATCCAACCATCCCTCCATTCATTCATCGACCATCAGACATACATACATATATATGGAATCCACATGGTATGGTGTGGAGGGGGGCTCACTCTTTCGTGGGTTCACGGGGGATGTGTGGGATATGGCATGGCATTTAGCCGTTTGCCAATATTTGATTTCCAGGAATCGCTTTTCAGGGCAAATTGGAAGTCATTATAGTCATAGTAGAAGGAAAAGAAGAAGAAGAAAAAACGAACTGCGGGCCAAAAGCAGAGCGCAGAGAGCTCCAAAACGAAACCCCAGGTTCGGTTCAGGCCTGGCGATGGGTGCCCCTTGCGTTATTAGAGGCTAATTATAGAGCAGAGAGCGGAGCACCAAGAGAGTGGGGTGTGTGGTTAAAGGGGGGCATAGTGCGGCATGCATCATATGGAATCCAGGAATGGAATGGAAATGACTTTATTCATGCCGACTCTACCCGTCCAGAGAGGCGTCTGTTTGTCGCGCCAAATGTCTGCTGTGGATGTTTCCTGTTTTACTGTGTGTGTGTGCATGTATTTGTGTGTGCCCCAAAACGACGTGTCAACTAATTTGCAACACTCGCCACTCCACTGGACAGGGAACTGGACTCTCTTCCATGGAAGTACCTGCGGGCTGCTGCCCCTTTTGGCAAAGGGATTAGCCGCTGCCAAGCTCTCTGTGAAAAAGTTTTAGCACAAAAAATTTGACTAATGTCTTAATTTTGTGGAGCTTAGCACCGGAGCTGCTTTGTTTTGCGGTTCGATTCGGCTCTGGAGATACCCTCGAATGCGCAACAGCCGCAGAATGGGGCAGGAAAAAGTCGTGCCTCCTGGAGACTGCAGCGAATTGCCATTCACTTCGCTTCATCTCAGGGGTTTGGGTTGGGGGCTCTGCGGCTGGCTCTACCTCTGGTTCTGTCTGTGGCTCTAAATTGAGTTTTTGCATGTCGTGCCCATGTCTAGGCCTTGCTTTGTTTCGTTTCGTTTTCTCGGCTCTCTTCCACACAATTGACAGCTGAATAAAATGTTATTATATTTACACCATAATTTGCATGGCAATTAATCAAATGGCATGCAAAATTCGACAACACAAAATGCCAGGCCAGAGCGGTAGAAAAAGAGGTTTCAAGCGACACATTTCTGGGAAATATAATTCCCCCACGCCACGCTCTCTGCCAATTCCAACAGAACAGAAAAAAACAGAAACGGACAAAAAAAAACTCACAGAAAATACATACCAGATATTGGACCCCCGCCTAAATGTCTTTATTATGAATCGTAGTTTTGGTTGGGAATGGGAGCTCCAGAGAGCTCGTTAGGGGCCTGACCATAGAATATTGGATATTTGGACTGGGGAATACGTTCGAAAGGTGTCCAAATAGAGACATTTATAAATAAAACAGGGAATGAATCAGAGAGACAGAGTGAGAGAGAGAAAAAGAGTTAACAAAGAGAATCTCATCATCTACGTAGATTCTCTTTGTCAACTCCCAGCGGAAAAGTGTCCGAGCGCTCCGTTTAGCTATTGGTGTAGTAGCTAATATCATTTTTGGCAGTTTTGTATAGTAATGTATAATTTCAGATTTTGGGATAAGTCAAAATTTGTTACAGATATGTTATAAATCTCCCTGAAAAAGTCGTTCTCTAAAATCGAATTATGACCGAAAGATGAAAGGCAAAGTCTCACATCTCAAGAGATCAAGCATATCCCCGATGAGCCATCCCCCCATTAAAGACTCTCTCATTCCAAACTAAAGAACCATTTCAATAATAAGATGTAATACTCCGCCCTGTTTGTATGGGCCTTTCTCCATGTTTATCCCCAAAGCCCTCGTTTAGCCACTCGCCACGTATCGCTCGCATATTTCTTTGGCTTATGGCCGTGGGATTAAGTTAACCGCCTGATAATTTCAACAACATATTTTGTATAATTTATGCTCCCACATCCGCACCCCTCACACCCCGCTATATTACACCCTCCAAACACCCCATAATGGCAGAATATAAAGGGTAACAATTTCTATATTCTGCAAATATTTACAACAATTTGTGGCACACACAATGTCCACAATAAAAATGAAAGGTCTCGAAGACCCAAAAAAAAGGACTCGTGTTTGACTTTTGTGCGGCTGTACGGCTGTTGAATGAATGTTTTATTGCATCAACAAATACGAGTATATCCAGGGGAACAATCGAGAGAGAGGAAAAGCCCTAGTCAGTCAGTGCCACAAAAGCAGCTGCTGTTCGAGGGCGCTCAAAGGCGGTGGCAGTGGCATTGGCAGGGGGCTACTTCCTTCCGTTCTGCCGCTGCCTATTTTGAGATATTTTTATTGTTGTGGCGGAATAAATTCAAATAAATTTATTTAACTTGCTGATTCTTCGAACAGAAAGGAACTCCTCGCTTCCCGCATTGTCCTGGTTACACCATAAATACTTCCAGATTCGTAGATGAAATTATTTATAGCCAGATTTATGCTACGCTAAATGCCATTTGAAAAGTTATGTGTGTTTCCATATAATATTTTCCTATAATTTATTTTGCATATGATGCTTTTTATTTCTAATAAAAGTGGGAGGACGTTCAAGAATATTTTTAAAGGATTTAAAGAATTGTAACTTAGACGAAAAAATCTCTGTAAATCATTTGAAATGTTACAAAACATTGGGAAATAGTTTTATATTCTAAAACCATCTGCGACTACTCATTGCTTGAATAATTTCCTTTCAGTATTCCATCACAGTTTCAGCAATCTTTTTATATTTCGATCAATCTTCATCTTCTTTCAAGCCTATTTCCCACATTTTCCGCTTCGTTTATCATCGCCTTCGCTGACCGTTGACTCATGGGGATTCCATGGGGACTCATGCCTCGTTAGCACCATGATATACATGACTAATCTGAAGATTATGATTATGAAATTTATGCTAAAACCGCAAGCAATGTGATTCCGTTTTTTTTCGCATTTAGAAATATTCAAATCTGTGAGCGGAAATGAGTGGATGGTGTGTGCATTCTTCGAGTATTTTTTTCTAGATTTTTCTTATTCTTATCCTCTGTTTTTCTGCTGTTTTTGTGTGCTCTGTGACTCGTGTAATTGTTGCAGCAGCAGCAAAACGCACTGTGGCCTGAAGCACATAAAAAGGCAAACAAAACATACAGCATTCCCTCCCGCTTCCCGCCCGTTTAAAAGGGGAGCACAGGAGAAGTGAGAAAACTTATTTGCTTATTTTCATGGAATTTACCATAATTTCTGCTTCGTTTCCAACGTTTTTTTTCTGGCTTTTTATGTGGTAAAAAGATAAACAAAAAGATCGACAGAAAAGTGCAACAGAATTATGATTTCCCCCTCTCTCACCCTGTTGTTTTCTGTTTGTGTGTGGGATATTTTCCATAATATTTTTAACTTTTGTTTACATTTTGCTTGCATTTTTATTGTGCCCAGCAGCATCGTCCGTCGTTCCTCCTCATCTTTGGATTCTCTGTGCCCTTTTTTTAATCAATTAAGGCAAGGCGATCCCTGCCATAGGGGGATATCTCCCCCTGTCGCCCTCTATCTCACTGGGAAGACCACACACAAAGACTCATCAGAAGATGCGGGCCTCAAAGGGGGAATAACTAATGGAATTGCTGAAATGCTGATTAAAATAGTTGGCACTCTTTTAATCACAATTTATGTTGTTTAATTTCGTTTCATTCGTTTACTAATTATTTTTTGAAACGATATCCGACTCCCAGTCTGTGTCTGCCTTTGGGGCTATGCTGTGCCTGCCACAAGAAGATCAAAGAAGGAGGCAGCAAACGTCAGCAGCAGACAAACAT